ATAGACATGAAAGACAACAAACTTTCAGAGTCAGAGGGATCTATCTATTTGTGAATCAATGGCATAGAGCAAAGAAAAAGGAAGGAAATGACATGCCTTTCATGCAAGTTGTAACCTTTGAGAACATACCTGTAACTCTGGGAAGCATACTTCAGTAGCACAGACATATCCACACTCTAAGGCAGATATTGAACCCTGGTAGTCTCCTTCAATTGATAAAGCATTTGCAAGCTGTGAATTGAAGTTGCAAGACCACAACTTCATTGAAATCCTTCAATAAAATAAACTAGAATCTATGAATATGTAGTGGCAGTAGTAGTAGCAGTGTTAGTCAGAATAAGTAGCAGTACTGGTCAGAATAAATAACATGAAATAGAAACAACTTGACAACACATCATAAACATAAATAATAAAAAACTTGCTCTGCCACTTACCCGGTGGTTCATTAATATCAAATATCAAACATCTTTGACACTTATTAGACACACATACTCATGTTAAAAAGTAAAAGTTAATTTTAAGGATGAAAATATACAAAATATGTATGCTATATACTATAATTAGTTTTTACTATCTAAAGGCTACAGGCCAACAGCTACTATTTTCATACTCTGCCTCTAGCTCAAACATATAATTAGTTGTTATGAGTTACAAATGGAACTTGCAACCACATTGTTTAAAGCTACTATATTGGCAAACCCCAAAATTACAAGGTGGACCACTCCCAGTTATTTAGAAGTCAGAGTGGGTGACATGACATGGTATGTTAGAGTATAAATAACAGGAGTGAAACAGAAATAAACGCTTCCCTATTGCTTGTATTTCTCAATTTCTTCTTCAATATCATTTTGAAAAAACAAATTCAGAAATCACTTGTTCCATCAATAAACGCTACATTCTTCACCCCAATTCTGATCCAATTCAATAAATGCTTATATTACCTTCTAATCCCTGTGGATATGATATTTTTACTACTTGAACGGCCGGTATACTTGCCGTGTTTGAGACCGTTGATTGAATCAAACTGATTTACAATTATAACAAAAGTACTTCAACGGAAATCTCAACAACAACCTAAGAATCCCTAACCAAAGATTAAGATTTCAAAAACAAAAATGCTGAAAAGACCAAAGCTAAACCAAACAATAATAGAAACGCCACACGTGCCTTGTCCAAATGGTGAAGCATAACATTAGAGGATAAAGTGCAGCGACAATAACCATTGAATTTCAAGCCGCAAGTACAGGGACAACAATAAACTTCGAAGCGACAAGTGCATTTTAATTTTACTCTCTAAAGTGCAATTTCTTCCTTATTTTCGGAGCAGCTAAACCAAAACCTAAAATTAAAACTTCAAAGGAAGATCTAAACAACAGGAAGCGAAACCAATACATACTCGTATCCGGCGGATGCAGTGAGCTCGAGGCCCTTGTACAGGACCTGTTTCTGCGGCGCAATAGCTCCGACGAGATGGTAGCACTGGCTGAGCAAGCTGTAGGCTCGGCACTTCAATTCGAAGCAAGAGGGAATGGACTTGAGAAGCAATTGCTGAAAAGGAAAGAAAGAAATAAAGACAATGAAATTTGAATTTGAATTTGAATTTGAATTTGAATTTAAAGCGGTGGAAACGGAGAATGAAGGAGAGGACTAACGGAACGTTCGAGGTGGGACTTGGCGTGGTTGACGTTGTGAGAATGGTGGAGGAGGAGAGTGGCGACGCGGAGGCGAGTCTTGACCTCGACGATTGGGAAGAAGGAGACCTCGCTCTGGCATATCGCTTCGAGGCACTTCACGGCCTTCCCTATTTCGCCTCGCTTCTCGTGGTATTCTGAGAGTCCCCATAGCCCCTCCGCCACGGCCTCCATTGCAACGCGAATCTTCTTCTTCTTCTTCTTCTTCTTCTTCTGCTATGCTATGCTATTGCTATTGCTAACCCTCTTCTCTTCTCACCGCTCCCTCCAATTCCAACGCGACAATTCCACATCCAAATTTTCAACTACTACCGCGTTCTTTCATTTTCGCTTTTCCTTTTTTTCCTCGCTCTCGCTCGCTACTTTGCTTAGCTTTGCTTAGATTTGGAGTCAAAAGTCAGCCAAGGAAAAGAAAAGAAAAGAAAACACTTCGCCTTTTCCTGCGCTCTTTTGCCTTAACAGGCCCTTCTTGGGCTGCTCCCTCTTTCTTCGCTTTTTCCACAGTTTTCGCTATTTGCACCTCTTATTCACTAACTACACCTTCCTCTTTGCTCCCTTCTTCTAAATAATAGTGCTTTATCAAATTCATATATATTGTTCTAAAGAGTATTTTAAAATATATTTCTGGAATTTTATTAATATTTTATATTTTTTTAATTATACAAATGATTTTCCATGTTAAAGACGAATTTTTTTTAATATTAAATATTTGTATTTATATTATTAGAAATTAATGTTTTATATTTTGAATAAAACTATTTTAAAAAAATAAAAGATAAAGCATACTCAAACTTTGCATGATAGTAAAAAAAAATTAAAAATACCACATTTTCAAATAATTACTGAAATTTTAAATAATATATCAATACATTAATTAAAAAAAATAGTTATTTGGTGAAAAATAATTAAAATTATTTTAAAAATTAAATAATAGTTTTAAAATAATTATTTGTAGTAAACATCTTCTTATTTCATTTTAGAAATCAGATATTAATTGAATATAATAGTCCATGTTTCACGATAGGTTAATTTATAGTCCCTAATAAATATCGAGTATGAACTATCTTCATCCTACATCTATTTTCTGAAAACAAACATTTCATTTCCAATAGGGAAAAAACAAAATAAAAAAATAGCAACCTAACTCCATGACCATTGTAACTCATCTTCCCCCACGAAAAAATAGACCAAGTTTCTCCATAAACATATTGTATCATTGTTTATCTCTTTCTCCATAAACCAACTATGACAATTGAATAAATAAATAAATAAAATGAAGACTTGTAAGAAAATGTCCTCACATGCATGCCTAGGGGTTGGCCACCAACTTAAGCTCAAAGATTCTTTCAGGGAACACTCTTGAACCTCCATGGCTAGTGTGAGGAGGTCGTGCAACCATGCATGAAAGAACATCTACAAATAGCTTGAAGGTACTTTACCACATCTCAAAAATCAATAGAGCTCAATGCATTGCACAAGGTCTGTCACAATGTTTTGTTGCCTTACACATTAGTAGTTAATGCAAAATATACAAGTGTCTATAATGTCAATATACAGGTTCCATTAAATAAAACACTTTGGTTGATTTGGGTTTCAACCACAAAAATTCAAAATCGAATCCATTCGTCATTATCGACCTTTAACCATTTTTTTCCTTTTTATATTCACTTAAGCTGTATAACCATCTGAATCCGTTTGAAAACGCTTTTTTTTTTTTTTTTTTTTTTTTCTTTCGGGTAGTCGAATAGTCGATCAATTCTTGAAATTTCGCTCGTGCTTAGTTCATTTTGCTCTTTTAATTCTTAAAAAAAGAATCAATATTACCTTTTGTCTAAATTGAAATTAATAGCATTAATGGAAATCAAACGAAAGGTTAATATTAAACTTTTTTTTAAAATTAAAATATTAAATTAAATATTTTAAAAATACTAAGACTAAATTGAATAATAATTAACAAAATAATTTATATTTATGTATAATATTAAAATAAGATTTATTATTTATTTTTAATTAAAGTAAATAAATTTCTTTCTATCTCTAATTTTTTTTTACCGATTTTAGATTGGTTGTTGGTTATAATAGGAGTTATAAAAAAAAAAATTAAGTTGATAAACCAATATCCACATCAATTCTTGATGAGACCATTTGAATTAGATGGTCCAGTCCAATTCTCAAAAATTAAAATTGAATAGTATTCATGAAAACAATTTTAATTTTCTTAACAACATCATAACAAATAACGAATTGAGTAATTAGAATTAAAAAAAATCATAAAATGAAACAGGACTTATCTAATAAAAAATATTAAATGAATAAAAAAATAAAATTTATGTAAGTCAATATTAAATAAATTATTATTTAATTTAGTCTTTTTATTTTTTAAATATTTAATTTAGTTTCACTATTTTTAAATAGTTCAATTTAATTATTTGATTTATAAAATAATTTAATTTTATCTTTTATCTGATTTCATTAACATTATAAGATGAATCACATTAAATATTTAAAAATTAAAAGATTAAATTAAATTATTTTAAAATAATAAAACTAAATTAAATCTTAAAACTAAATTGATAACAAAAATATAATTTAACCATTTAAGATTCCGATACATGTATTTGAATTCTTTGGTCTTTAATATATTAGATCATTAAAAAATTAAAAAATAGTAAAGTCAAAATGCGGGGATAGCTCAGTTGGGAGAGCGTCAGACTGAAGATCTGAAGGTCGCGTGTTCGATCCACGCTCACCGCATAGTTTTCTTTATTTTATTCCGTGTTATTGTTTCTATTTAGATTTTAGAATGAAGGTTGCGTGTTGTGTTGGATCACACTCGCAACAAAACTTAGATTTTTTCCGTTTTATTATTTGCACTTCGATCAACACTTACAGTATTAAATATTTTTAAAATCGCATTTCAAAATTTGGCTTTAATTCTAACATACTCATGCGACAAATAAAGTATTTGTATTGGTTAATGGTTATTGTTAAATTCAATGTACAAATACAAATAAACTTTAGCTACAAACAAGATTAATTTGAGGCTTCCCTATCACTGTGAGAATGAATATAGTGCATTGTACAGTAGAGATTTATCAATCCAAAACTCATAGAATAACAGTGGCATTAACAGATGGAAGATGATGTATTTTTTCAATAGAAAATTTCTATAATATTTTAAACTTATATTCAAACAGTTTCGTAATAATCAATTTTTCTATGTAATTAGGCATAAGAAAAATGATCATCGTACTGATAGAATTCTCCATCCAGCGCAATTAACCACCATTAAATATTTCAATAACTGCATTGCACCACACTATTAATCACTTCTGAAATATATTCAACCACTAGTCTCACAAGTGCACAGTGATAATTGTATACAATCACATTTATATACTCTTAACCATTCGTAAAATAAAGTTCACTATATTTACAAATGTGTATAAACCATACAAAATGACCGATGGTTAAATATGTCTCAAAGTGGTTAACAGTATGCAAAACTTATTGAAAAGTTTAATGATTAACTGCGCCTTAAAAATAGCTAATGGTGCAATGGGTGGAGAATTCTACCAATAGGATGCAAAGAGAACAATGCAGGCTCACAACTCACAAGCCAGAACAATAGTTAGAGTAAGCTCCACCCCCAACATGGTGAAAATAGAGGGGAACAAGGCTAACTGTAAGATTTTTTATAATGTAAAAACTGAAGAAAAAAAAAAGTGTTAATCTCTGTGAAAAGCATCATCCAGATCCAGTTCCACCCCTTTGCGGTTTTTCAAAATGGCTTTGGCATCTAAAGGTGTTTTGCACTTGCATTGGAGCTCCTTGAATCTCTCAACATCAAAACTGTACCTCTTGTGAAGCTTCCTCTGCCTTGAGAGAAAGAGCCTCTTCATGAAGTCTTGGTAAGTGGGGTCTCTAGAAGTGAATAAGAAGTAGGCATAGCCTATGACTAGGCCAGTGGAAGTGGTGAAATATGTGATAGGTTCCATTACATCCCATGAGAATTCCCAGAATGTTAGTCTGAAGAATAGTCCAACTGTGACTACACCAAATCCAAGACCAGACCACAGGATGCGCCGCACCTGCTTATGTGCCAACAAATCAATTTCTTCCTTCTTCTCCACAAGCTTCTTTAACTCCTCCCTTGCAGGATCATCCTCAGATGTCAATGCCAGTGGAACTGCTCTTCTAACCAAATCCACCACCTAATATTCACCATGCAATACAAAAGGAATCAACAATCTAGAAACCATGGGAGAGGAAACAATTAAAAAACAATGTATAAAGGTAATATAAGACACTAGCCTTGTATGGAATGAAAGAAATGGTATTTTAAAAATGAGCCAGAGTCATCATAAACATAATAAAATGTTATTATTTATCTAATTAGTGTAACAGATATGCTAGTGAAACTTTTTTACTAACACTTTCTTTATTAGTAGTTGAAAATCACAAATTCTTGTGTGTCTTATAGTAAAATCAGTAAAGAGAGCTAGACTAAAAATTTGTAATTTCTAATAAATGTCAACCAATAATAAAATAAATGTTAGAGAAATGGTTGTTAACATTCCTCTTACAATAATATATATGCAAATATTGATATAAAACTCTAAAATATTCAAGATAATAGATTTGTGTTTGATGAAGGTATTGCCCAACACAGCTACGATTTTGAAGTATACATGCCTACTAGGCAGTGAGTAACAACTAACTCTCATCAATGAAAACAACAGAACTCCATGTTACCTATTCAATTTCCTTATAAGGGGTTTATGTCAGCAAACAAGATGATTAATTCAGCTGATAAGGTTCTATAGCATCACAGCCCATCAAGTTTACTGGGTATCAGGACTCATAAACAAAGGAAACACAGCTAGCAAGTTTGGTTGTTTAGTGGTAATTGTAGTTAGAAATTAAGCATTTAGGTAAGAGTTAGTTTAGTCACTTCCACCTAATGCATCGCTTATGTTATTAATACTATTGAGGAATGCTAGCGATATCATTTCTCACAAAAAAATTGTGATTTTCAATAAATTTTAGTAAATAGTACAAAGTGTTGTTAGAATTCCTTGTACTATAGTATCTTATTTGTATCACCATCACTTCAATTTTGGTGGCATTCTTCTATGGAAATCATCTCCAAATTCTGATACTGGGAGGTCTAGCAAAGGGATGGTACGCAGCAAAGCACACCCTATAGAATCGAAAATATTTTTGGAAAATGAAGCATGCTGTCATGATTCGGTTCCTGTTTATGTGTCTAGAGAAAACTTTGTTGGAAGAGACAAAACTCACTTCGGTGTTCTCAATTTCTCAAAAGAAATTAGTCTCCAATTTAATTGGGGATATCCATGGTATATGCAGTATATCTGGGGTAGAGAAAAAATTTGAGTGAAAAAGAGTGAAGTTGTGGGATGAAAAATACTCACAATGCATAATCTATGATTTAGAAAATTTATTAACTTTCAGTAAAAGGAATCTAAGGGCGACACTACCCAAAGTCATCAACCACCAGAGGGCCTATTACTCAAAAAGGGATGTAGCAACAAAACATAAACATATTCAAAACTACCAAATATAGCTTAAAGGCTAGGGGACCATGAAAAGGGGTAATGAATGGCATCTCCTGGCATTAAATACATGGTAAAAATAGACCTTGATCTTATCACATGCCTTAAGTGAGCCCCACAAGAACAGATTCATTTAGAGAAACAAGTCATAGCAGTCACCTTCTCAGGATGCAGATAGACCTTGTCCCTGAAGAGGAGAATAACCCCAGCCTCATCAAGAACCTTGGCAAATGCTGTAGACTCCTCAGAATTCCTTGCAACACCCATCCTCTCACACTCGTCAAGAAGCTCACCGTAGGGGATAACCTCCTTCCCATCCATACCAAGCTTCATCTTCAGCGATTCCACATTCACCAATCTCATAAGCTTCTTAGCCTCAGTGTAGGATATAGACTCTCCAGTTCCATTCCCATTATTATCATCACTCCCACTCCCACATGAATTGGAGTTGCCACCACCAGTGGGGTATGAAACTGAAGTTGAGGAACACAGACCCCTCTTCATCTGCTTCAACAAAAATGCCACCCCTCCTTTCCTTCCACAACCACCACCACTACATTCCTCCCCAAAATCCCTCAAACCCAACAAAACAGGACCAAAAGAATGAACCTTTCCCACACAACCATGTCCTCCATTAAAAACCAAAGACACCCTTTGCCTCAATGATCCACCACCACCACCACACCACCATCTGCTCCACATCTTGAACACCCCAAAACAAAAAATCAAAACTTTTATGTGCAAAACCACTAACAAACACTACCCAGTTCAGTTACCACCCAGACCCATCTTTTCCTTTTCACATGGAGACTGATGCACAAGTCTGGCAACTTTTGAGGAAAGACGAAACGTGTGCATTTATTGGTACGAAGAATTTGAAGGAACATACAAAATAAAAGAGGAAAGGAGGAAAGAGAGGCAAAGACATCGGAGATGGGAAGAGAGAGAAATCAAAAACTAATTTGGGAAAGCAAAGCGAAAGCGTGTGTAGCAGTAAGAGAAGGGAAGGTACACGTTGACGTAGCAACCATGCTAACGACCACAAGTGAACAGTGACACGTTCCATCCATCATATTCCCGTGTGAATAGCTAACACCATTGTTGATTTGTTGTGATTGGTAGTTGACAGTTTTTAACGGAGATAATGTGTCCTTGGAAGTTAGGAAGAACTGATTAACACGATGTGTACTTGTATTTCCTCTTTCGTTGTTGTCCACTTTTCATAGGAAAAGAAACGAAGAAATCATGGTCGGTTTCTCTTTTTTCATTTTCTAAGTACATATTTAAACAGGCACAGAGATCAGTGCTTAAGCAAAGTTGATGTTCGTATAGTTAAATTAAATTTTTCCGTATTTTGTTGGACCCAAAAAAAGCTGAAAATGTTCGAATTCCCCCACAAATGTCGTGTGCCAAAACCAAAGTAGGATTCCTCGCAGCAGTGTTCATTCTTTCGAATTTCGTGTAATGTTAATGAAGATTTTGTTAATATTTCGTGTAATTTTAAAGATGTTGTTAATTGTATATCAAAAGAATTTACAATATTAAAGCACACTCAACCAACTAAATACCTCTGATGAAGTTATTGATAATTTATTTGATAATATTAAATTTATTTTTAATATTAAAGAGACCCTAACTTTATTAGTTATTTATTGAATTAAAATAAACAGTTTTAATTAAAGTTACTTCCTATAAAAAAAAATTAAAGTAAAAGATTATTTTTGTCCTAGGTAAGAATACTAATCTTTTACGATATTTTAAATGAGCTCGAAGAGTTTTTATACAATATAAAATTAAATATACAATTTCTGGTCAAATAAATTATTTCCACGAGATACATATAAAATATATTTTAGATTGAATGTTATAAAAATGATAAAAACAGTACTTTTATTTTGATCTTATGAAAAGTTAAATATTCCTTATCATTAACGAGATGCTATTCGAATATATGTTAACATTTAAAATTAATGTCAATTTTAAGTGAATTTTTAATTATAATTATTAATTATAGAATGATACTATAATTTTATTAAAGTTATATTTAAGATTTGTTCAAAATTCGTATATTTGAATATGCCAATTAATTGACTCTTCATTATAAGAAACTAATATTTTAGTTTGTGTCAAAGATTAAATGCAAATTTATAATATACAACTAAAATTTAAATTAAATTTTGTATATAAATAAATATTATATTTAAAATTTGAATAAATAGATATTTTTAAATATATAAATTATATTTTAAATATGTGATAAATAATTTATATTATAATATAAGATTATTTTTACATTGATAATTTATTTTAAAATATTAAAATTTAATTCATAATAAGTATAATAAATAAAAATTGAATAGAATATGAAGTTGAAATAATCTTTAAAAGTTCTCTCATAATAAAATTCTAAAAATATTATTGTGCAGGATAATTATTTATCTTTTATATATAAGGGTTAATGTTATCGTGAATCACTTGCCCTTTTTTTTTATCGATTTAGAGAAGTGATTAATTGTGATGGGCAAAAAAATAGTCCGAATAGTAAATACAATTAGAAAAAAACTGAAATTCTTTCCGGACATTATATATTTTTTAGTATTTTAGTTTGTCTCTAAATATTCGATATTTTCAAATTAAAAAAAATAATTATTTGTTTAATACTATCCTCATTTACTAATATTTTACTTTAAAACTTATAGAAATAAATTTATAATTAGATTCTAACTTTTTTAATAAGAGTAACTTCAATTAAATATTTTCTTTAAAAAAACACATCAGTCGTCGGAGGCTGTAATCGAAAAAAGAATACAGTAATTTATGATCCTTATCCATAACATGAACATATTCTTATGCATAATTATCCTTTTCAATCCTTCTAGTTTTCCAACTTACCAGTAAAGATAGGAAGAACCTAAATTCGCTTTTATTATTCCTTCTTCCAGCTTTGATTTCTTTTTTGGATAATTTTAACTCTTTTTCGTTAGAGAAAAGAATTATTGAGATCATATTTTGCCACTAAAAAAAAAATTCAATTGAGTAATTCAAATGTCAAAATATACATCTGTAGAAGAACTTACAAGTTAAATAAAATGAGCATGTATCAGGTCACTTGCTGTGTTTTGCTTTTGTGAGAGTTTTAACCAAACCCTTTGCGATCTTCCAGAACCAAAATATGTTCAACACTGCTAACACAGAAGGCACCATAATCAAGGTGTAAAATCCAAAAAGGAAGACCTCCTTCACCTGAAATTAACAATAGAGTTTGATTCAGTGGCAATATAGAGGGGGAAATGTAAAGATTTATGTAGCAGGGAATCATAGAGCACATGCTAACCTCATTTAAATGGGTCCCTATGTGGTAAAAAAGGAACATGAACAAGAAAATCCTTGCAACCTGCCACACGGTTGATGTTGAGTAAGCATAGAAAGTACTAGGGGTTAAAATCACTCTGCACCAAAAACATATTATGATCTGTACCCGGAGAAATTATTATGCAGTGATATATCACATATTTTAATTAGTTTTTACATAATATGTAATGAAGTGTTATTAATTTTTTCTAGTACATCAAAAATTTTATGTTATATATAGTGATCGACTAAAACCCTTAACATTTGGTTAGTCTACGTAATAATTTCTCATTTTAAGGCTTCATCAACACATATGAAACATGCAATACTATGTTTTGATTTTGTCGGAACCCTTTTAATCATCTTTCACCATTGCTTTCTAATTTGTGTCTTTGGCTCAAATTTGAGAACCAGATAGAACGTTACAAAATTAAAGTACCAAAAATACAAACCATACTTGGTCATAACTTATAAGGAATTCCTTCAGGTCAATACACAACTTATCATACAACATATCCCAAATTAAATTTCAATGCAAAGGGATTAGAGTTGAGGTCAAAACTCAAGAGTATATTAGACAGTACCAACCACCCGAAGAACAATGCAACGCCATTCCAAATGTAAAGTTTGGAGCTCTTAAGACCAGCAAGATCCAAGTACCTACATATGTAATTAATGTAATAATGTTGACAAAAGAAAAAAGTGCATGAAGCTAAATGGATTCTGAACAACATATTTACCATCTAAGATTTACAAAAGGAGTAGTGCTTTCTGAGAAAAGAACCATAAGTATGTAGATATGAACTTGACCACTTAGCAGAGACAGTGTAATAGAACTTATGGATAGACCATGGTGTAGAACCTACATGTAAATTGATGAACCAGGTTTACCACTAATACAGCACATAACTTAAATATCGAATTAAAGATATCTTTAAATGAAAACATAGTATCATATAATGTACTGATAATATTATCATTGTGTTACTAATAACAAAAAAGCTTTAATCTACTTACATATTCAATACCCCCTAAAGCTGGAAACTTCCAAAGAATCATGGCCAGATCTGTCAGAAAATAACCAATAGAAATCTGTACAAGTACAATGAAACAAAACAGGACACGTAAGCCAACAGCCATAAATAAATTACAGATAGAGTCTGACATACAGAATCTTAATAATGCTCAACAATAGTGTTGCTAATAAGGTTGCCGGGAGACCAACAAATCTTACAAATGGATGAAAACAAGTCAAACTTAGCTATGAGACCAACAACCAAATTTTGTTTCTATCTTCAACTTACCCCTAATACTGTATCTGATAATGTTGATGATCTAGTAATAACTAAGTCGTCATGTGATTTCACATTGAAGAGATCTGATAAGATCAGGAGATAGAAAGATGCAGATGATACAAAAAGAGCGTGAAATGTAGAGAATCCCCTGCATTACAAAATATGTTAACACTTATACAAAAGATAATAGTTGATTTAATCAATGCAAATAAGAAAGATATGCAAAGACATTTCACCTGTTATTCCATTCTATTTTCTCCACACTGTTCAATTTGCCATAACAGTTGAACAACAAAGAACTCAAAATAGCAGTTGATGCATAAACCTTCAAGAAGGAACAAAAAGGTCAAGTTTTACTATTGCTAACAAAACAACTAGACATTTCAGAATTATCCCACTTCAGATAAAACTGAAAATGTCTTCCATTGAAAAGGGAACAAACAATAATTTCATTAATCAACTTTAATCTAAAAGTCAATCCAATCAGATAACCAAAAGTTTTCAGGATTTGAAGTTACAAAAACAGTTTGGAGTCCGTGCAAGCTATGAAGGAATATAAAATCATAAATCCTTAAACACAAATGCTAATACCATCTTCAATTGTTATGTTGACATATTCATGATATACAATCTTTTTCTCAACCAATAAAGCATTATACTTTTCTTTGCATTGGTGACACCATTAATGAAAAATTACTGTTGAAGGAAAATAACCAAACATTGGACCATAATCATATCAATTCAAATTGAGGAAGCCAATTGAGCAATTAAAAGAATATTTCTTCCCAAACCATAGTAAAACAACAGCAAAGAATTATCTCACATCCAATACAAAGCCTCACCCAATAACCTCATCTTAAAAATGCACAACACAACCACACGGTCCTCATAAGAAAAACATAAACATATTAACAAATCTTAAGAAAACATATAACCTCACACCAGACTAATGAACAGTTTTGTTTACTTACAAGAACACATAAGATGATGCCTGAGAAGATAGATGCTAGCCATAGGATTTCTTTGCCATGAAAGGAGATTGGAGCAAAAGCAGAAGTGAATTCCATCATGCCCTCTAGTTTAAATTTGCTGTGTCAAACCAACCAGTATCGAAGACATGACATGATGTGCATAAGAGTGCCTGAGTTCAAAGCCCATTATGAAAGGATACGATAATAGTGTTGGAGGAGGCTCCTCTCAACAAATACAGAACATGTCCATAATAATTAATCGCAAGTTGAATTATTAATTTTCTTATGTCGTTTGTTGAAAGGCGAAAGTCCGGTTCGTGACTTTAGCCACCATAAATACATTATGGCCATCCATTTCGCATATCCTAGTTGACCAAATTCCTTTTGAAAACAAACAAATCACACCACAAGGAATAGGAATAGGGTGGGGCAAACGTAAAAGAACATCTTCTTCAACGTTTCAAATGTCGTGCCACTGTATGTTTGTGCGTGTATTTTAAGAAAGTTTTTAAATTAAAAAAAAATAATCAGAAATATTTTTAGTGCCTAACGAGTGTGTTTTGATTTTCATACCTATATATTTTTTTCATCGTTTTAAAATGTGATTTCAACTTTTCAATTGATTAAAATCAAAGAAAAAGATTTATAATAACTAAAATCAAATTTTTACTTATTTTATAATTTTATTTAGACTAAAAATATATTTAAATTATTAAAAAATATATATTTACATTTTTTTATAGTAAATATAAACCTTTTCAAACAAAATTCAAAGCTAATATTTTGTCAAAAGAAAAAGTAGCTTCTAACGAAACTTTCTGACGTGTCACAAAAAAATTTGAAACCTACCCCACACTGGCGATAATGTATGAATAACAAGTAGTGAACATGAGCACCACGCACTAGTGGATTCTTGACCCAAAATCTTCACTTGTAAGCAAACTCATTCAACAAGGAAAGTTAAACTCTAAATCCTTAAATCAATCAAAATTCTTAAACCCTAAACTATTCATTGTTGCTATTTTAAACTTTAAATCTTTCATCTTTTTGTGAAAAATAAATAAAAAGGTGTATTTTTAAAAAATAGAAGATAATAGAAAAATAAAATGTTAAAATATTTTTTAGTTCATATAATTTTACTTTTTTTTTTTAATATCCTTATATTTATTTTTTAAATTATTTTTAATCTTTCTAGTTTAAGATTGATATTTTTAGTTCTATACATGTAATTTTTTTAATTATTTTAGTCTCTATCATATATTTTTTTAACGTTGTCTTGTGTTGACATAATAAAGATATTATTTTAATTTTATATTTTGCTAAAATTACCTTAAATTAGATCTTTTGTTTCGTATTTCTTTTATATCATCACATCTATTATATTCATTATTGGGACATTTTTTTAATTCTAAAAGTTTGAAGACTTTTATTATGTCAACATAGATTAACAATATTATAATAAAAAAAATTTATTAGGAACTAACAAAATTAAAAAGCTAAAAAGACTTATCTTAAATTATAGAGTCTGAAAATAATTTTAAAAAAATAATTATAAATACAAAAGAAAATCTATTTTAAATTATAGAGACTAAAAAATATTTTAGATTATTGGAACAAAAAGATAAAATAAATAAACTTATTGAAACTAAAAAAAATATTTTGACCAAAATAAAATTAGGAGAGAACAGATATTAAAAGAGATAAAGTTTAATAAAATAAACAATTTAAATAGTATAATAACATCCTTAACCAAAATTGATCAAATTGCTATTTCTGCTTGGATCCTTGATCCAACTATTTTGTCGCATTACAAAGTTTGGTTAGATGACAAATTCAGAGAGCTTTTTAAGAGCATTTCCAGTGAGAGTTGCTTATAAACAATCTTCTATGCCACATAATTGTCACATCAGCTCTGATTCACTTTATGAGTTGCTTAAATTTTAGTAAAGTTACTTCTACAAACAACTTTGTTAAAATTTAAGCAACCCATAAAATAGATCAGAGCTAATGTGACAATGATGTGACATAAAAAATTACTTATAAGTAACCCTAACCGGAAATGCTCTAAAGAGCAATGAACTTATCGAGTCAGGTGAGGTGAGAAGTTATGTTTGTCAATTGTACATCTCGCTGTTATTTCCTTTTAGTTCATTCCATTTCGTGTCACTGCGTGTTTTAGGACTTGGTTAATGACTTAATGTGATGAAGAAAAAGGGTTACCCTATTTCCAAGGTGTAAAGGAGATTAGGAAATACTGTTTTGAGTTCTTTTTCAGAAACCCATGATAGAGTTTAGACACATTTTTTATATTTCGAAACAGATATTCTGAAACATATCTAGCATTCAAGATTTTCTAAAACACATTTTTAATATTTCAAATTGAGAAATGGCAAGACAAGAAGAGTTTATAAATTTTAAAAAATGAGTGCAAAAAGCAAAATAGCAAATTCCGGGCCCAATTAGCCCAACTAATCGATGAATCTTTTTGTGTTTTTTGATTATGGATCCCACCCGTACTTTACCAACCTAACTACCCTATAGTTGCTTACGGAACCAGACCAAAATTAATATAATGGACAGGTAGCTCAGCTCATTAGTAACTTTGAATGTATTAATATATTCTTTCATAGTTCCATTCCTTTTTATTTGTCTACATATTTTTTTAAAAATATTCATTTTTATTTATTCATTTAAATTATAAAATAAAATTAATTATACTTTTAAATCTATGATATTTTTTAAAAATAAATTAATACTTTTTAATATATTTTTTATTAAGACATCTCTAACGTAACAACCCATTTGTCATATCAACATTTTTTTTCTCTTTTTCTTAATCAAAAGAACTTCTACAAACAACTTTGCTAAAATTTAACCAACCTATTTTAGCACCTAAACAATGAAAAGAGATGATGTGGCACAGTAGGACTGCAGATGGCCTTAGTTGTTAAAATTTATTCAGACTTAAATGAATTCCATTCTATAATAAAAAAGATTTATGCATTGACATAACCATTAAACCTTTAATAAAATGTATATCAACGATGTTTTCCAACTGATCCATAATTCGCTGATATAGTAAAAGAAGGCAGCATTTGCAAAGTATGCAAGTTAAAGATCCATTATGTCAATAGTGAAACATGGTTGAAAACAAATTCAAACTGCATCCATCCAGTTGTGATTATTAACATGCTGCTACTCCTCCATGAAACTGAAATTACAGGAAAGCAAACAGGAAGGCTCTGTGGCCATAACATATTTACAAGCACTCAAGCTTATTACATAATCCAAATTAGCTTGAGTGCCCTTGACCTTGAGGGATTTTCATCATCATAATCTAATAACCGCCTTGTATAAAAGCGTTCAAACGCTCCACCTCTTGTCGGTGCTCACGTACCACAGCACGGACCACATCTCCAATTGACACCATGCCAATCATCCCTTTTGCATCAATCACAGGGATGTGCCTGATTCTCTTATCTGTAAAAAATAATGCAAGAATAAGACAAGAAACATGAGTTACAACCTTATGTTTCAAATCATAATAATAATAAGAGTAAATTACACTGACGATGATGTCTCTTGGGGTTTTGTGAGATTGCACACAACTATCTTGTTTTTTTTTAAGGTTTGTCGTAACCTCTCTTACAGAATGTCACAAGGTAATGTTTTTCAAAATATTAAGGGAGTTTCATGTAATGTTTGAAGGGTATTAGTGGAATATTTTTTAAATAATTAAGGAGGTTAGAGTAGGAATATAAAATGTAGTGAGTATATGTGCAATTTCATGAAATTTCAAGGGGTGTATGTAATTTACTCTGATAATAATTGTCAAGTTATATGATAATATGATATGCTTTTGACAATGGAAAGTTTTTTATATTATCATCTGAACACAAATCAACATGTAATATAAGTTTGTTCGACTTCATAATAACTACATTAGATGTCATACTGAGAATAAACTTTTATTAGTTGATAATGAAGAACTTTTGACAAAGCATGATCATTAAACCCTATCTTTAAATATTTCTCCCTAAAGGAGTAAAAGAGCTCGCACATACCAGTCATCAGTTGCATTGCCTGAAGAACTCTGGTATCAGGGGTGACTGTGATAAGTTGGTTCTGCAGCCACATCATAATTTTAGTTTAGGTATCATGAGTGGGGGCATCACTATCTAGGGGAACAGTTTAATTCTCTGAACACAGAAAAATTGCAGGTTCCATACACAATAATAGCATCTTTGGTAAAGTTTAATTTTGGAAAAGTTATTGTTTATTTTCAGCAAGTTGGCAAAAATAAGAGATCATTTCTTCAAACTAAGACACAAGTATGATGATGATACATACCTCTTCAGTCATAATATCCCCAACCTTAGTAGACTTGGATGATCTTCCCTGGACGATGATCTTTCTCAGGTAATCTGGATAACAGAATAGTTACACATAAGTGACCCAATGACAAATATAATTGGTAGATCATTTTACTGCATTCAATGACAAATATAATTGGCATACAGGATGCCCCAACTGTGTCAGGCATGACAATCTAATTATGCTTGTTCAGTTATGCAATTATACATATGTTGCTCTACAGCTTAACGTGCAAACCATGTAGTAGAATTCAATTATTCATACCAAAACTCGTTCCCCAAGACTTAGAGAATTTTAGGATCTTAGATGGCAAGGATAGGGAGCAAAAGATGAAGGAGCATAAGGAAGCATTTTTCTTGCTCTTTCTTTGATTCTATAACATATAACATTTTAAGTTCGCTACTTTGCATTTTCCAACAATTTTACAGGGACATATTAGCATAAAAATATTGCACAGTCATGTTTTAATTTCTTACAGAAATTCATTTCATAAACACGACGTAATTTTAAGAGAAAAGATCATTTTAAACACCCTTCAGAAGGACTCCATTATTCCCTAGTGCAACCAACTATCGATTAAGCCATTTCTTTAAAATTCAATGTTCCTGATCCAAGTAAATATCCCATTTAGACATGCACAAATTTTAAGAAAACCCCCGACATAAGCCAATATTATGTAAATAAAACAAAATCAATCATTAGACTATATATCACAGTACCCCCCAAAAGAAAAAGAATTTACAATCATATTAGGTACCTCTTTCTGTTATAATCCCTGCAATTGCCTTCTTCTCACCAGGTTTCACAACAACCAAAGCTCCAACATTGTTTTGGGTCATCTGCAATGGATGTCAATGCAGCAACAAACATCAATCCTACGAAAACACCTACAGATTTATTGTGGAAACAGTTGCAACAAAATCAAACAAACTACCGATTTAACAGCATCATAAACAGTATCATCTGTGGTGCACCACAGCCAGGAGCCATCTGCACCCTTGCCTTTATCTTTCAAGATATCTGCAATTGTGGTGCTCTCAAAACCATGCTCCTCAATGCGAGCAGGCGTAACAGATTCAAACCGTGAAGAGGCAACTGACTGCATCATGGGATTCACCATGCGAACCCGTTGCAAAACAGCATTTTTTATGACATTCCCATGCGACAAAAATGATCGCAATCCTCCTTGCATTTTCGCTGTCTAATAACCAGATAGCACATCTTAGAATTCGCGATTCAATTAGTCTTAAGTCTATCAAAGCAAAGATTCATGAGAAAAGAAATTGCACAGGATCTAAACACATGCATATTGGAATGTTCTTTAGAAGTAGTTATGGAGTCACATAATCCATCACTTCAAATAGATTCCGGACTGTATCTTGCAAGATCTAAAGGAGAACAAAATAACCCTCTTGCCCAAAATAATAAACAATTAGCTCACATCATAGAAATCATTTGACATATACTTCATCCAAAGAAGAAGAGAAAAAGAATCTCAAACATGAAAACCGAGACATGCAGGAGAAAAACATCATCTTACAAGCCACAAGTATCAGAAGACAAAGATGTGTAACAAAAATATTTCTTTAAAAAAAAAAAAAAAAAGAGAAACAGAAG